CTGTATGACTCGTCGGATCGTAAGTATAAAAGGCGATTAACGTGTCAAGACTTCAACGCAACTGCTATTCTTCTCCAATCAAGTATACGTGTTGCAATGCAACTTTTTATCTAAGAATGTAGACCACAATAATGCTCCAATGAAACAAATACTTTTGTTAAAAAGAAGGGAAACCTTCTATATTGGAATTAAAGAAATATTATGTAATTTCTATCTTTACAAGATCAACTGCTATTCTTCTCCAATCAAGTATACGTGTTGCAATGCAACTTTTTAACTAAGAATGTAGATCACAATAATGGTCCAATGAAACAAATACTTTTGTTAAAAAGAAGGGAAACCTTCTATACTGGAATTAAAGAAATATTGTGCAATTTCTATCTTTACAAGATCAACTGCTATTCTTTTCCAGTCAGGTATACGTATTTCAATGCAACTTTTTAACTAAGAATGTAGATCACAATAAACCTCCAATGAAATAAGTTAAACATTTTTGTTAAAAAATGGGAAACCTTTTACATTAGAATTAAAAAAATGTCATGTATAATTCCTATCTAAAAATTCTTCTCCATTTAAATATATTCCAATGCAACTTTTTAATTATCCAAGAATGTAGATCACAATAATCATCCAATGAAATAAATACTTCTCTTAAAAAAGAAGAGAAACCTTTTACGTTATAATTAAAAATAATTTATGTTATATAATGTTGACCACAGAAGGAAGAAAATAGTAAAGGTCTCTTTGTTCTGAAATTGTTTTATAAATCGTTTTATTATAATTTGTAATTATCCATTAACTCACCCGAGATGCAACAGGCGAAACGAATGAGCAAGTACGAAGCGACGGAATCTCCGAACAAGTAACTACGAAATCAAATTGGCGAGAACGGAAAAGAGAGACAGGATAAAAATGACATAACAGAACGGCGATCCAGCGATTCGGCTCGATCCCACACAATACCGGATCGACTAACGCGTACTCACCGACTTACTTTACTGAATCTAATTCAGCACTCGACATGACTCGTCCCACCTCCGTGTATTTCATTGTGTACGACGTGGTGGGGTACCAACGACGAGAGAAGCGAGCAGACCTCGTGATGAGTTGTTCATTGTACATAATCGTACACCGTAAAGATACATTTATCCAAATCAATCCGCCGTGTCGACTCGAATGTATGCAGACATGTGCACGTACTTTGAAACGCCAATCGCGTTGTTTCGATTCAAGAGGATGCGAATAATTAAAATAGAAGGAAATACCGCCTAAAGATTGCCTGCAATAAAGTTTATTGTGCTAACATTCACTGTCGCCGCTGAAAGTTGTACGAGTCGTTGGTGCTAAAAGTTTAAGAAATGTCATGAAAAGCTATGTTCAATGTTTGAAGTGATAAACACTTGTAGAAAAAATTATATTTAATTAAGTATACTTAAGATATACAAAAGTAATTATGGTTTATAAAATTGTTCGACGTGTCACATGTTTAATACCTAGTATTCTAATATATGGTTTCGGCATTTCTTGATAAGATTCTACCTGACTTGTAATATTTTAAATTGTCTACAAGTCCGACAATTTCTATTTTTGTTTAACTCAACTTTAAAATACTCTTAAAACAAATATTAACAATTGTACAAAATTACAAAATTCTGTCATTGCCGCATCTATATTTTTTCATAGATGAAATCAAAATTTTGTCATTTAACATACGAATTCAAGATGTAATAATTTTTTTAATAACTTTGCAAAGTTTTTAAAATTTTTCATTGTTTTATTAAAATAATATCTAATAACTGTTAAAATTTTTGCCTTGTCACTGTTTTTACTTAAAAGTTCATACAACCTTAAAAGACGTAAGAGAATAGAATATTAAAGACAGAGAGGAGTTTCTGTCTTTCTCTCTCGTGCATATCGATAAAAAAGGAGAAAACTCTTCTGTTCATTCTCTCTTCGTCAATCGCCTGGTCTCAAGTCTTCTATTTAGGCACTCGGTCTATTCTCATACAGTTCAGTACAAAAGTTTCAGGCCAAACTAATTTTCGTTGATAATTACTTTATAGATAAAGGTAAAAAATATATATATATATTGTCATTTGAACTCCATCAATTATACTATCAAACTAAGAAACAACCAAATCTTTTTAACAAAATAATATTATATCATAACAGAAACCAAGGAATTCGTGCGATTAAAAGTTTCGCGCCAAAGACAATTATGGAAAATAAACTATAAAAAGAGCAACAAAAATTATTTCTATCACATTAAATCTAATACTAATATCTAGTCGCCTCTCGAAGCTATTACAGAGGCATATCGTCAAGGCATCAACTCTATTAATGTCTCAATCCTTGTTTGGTCAATTTTGTACCATTCGTCTTGGACTTTTGTCCACAAATCATTTTTACTTGCATAATAAATGACTCCTACTTTTATTTTGACTTCTTCCCATAAATTGTATTAACAATTGGAAAGAAACAGACACTTTAGTAGATAAACCAGTACCCGGAAGACCTAGAAAAACAACCAATTGATAAAATTATTAAAAGAAAGGCGGTTGTAGATCCAATATTCTGTTGGAGTTCAAATTGCCATATATATGTATATTTTCTTACCCTTATCTATAAAGTAATTTAATTAGTTTGACCCGAAACTTTTGCACAGAACTGTATGTCTACAGTTCTTTAAATTATGTAATTACTAACTTATGTGTATTTGCTTAGTTGTACAAATTTCTCTATTCATCACTGAATGTTGTCATTGTAACTTTCATCACTGTGTCAAGCAAATGTCTGAAACGAGCTATTCGATGGATTATGAAAATACTCAACTGCAATTAACTTTCTGTTAACTGCAATTATCTTCCTGCAATACTTTTGATAAAAATACATGGTATAAACTCTTTATATCAAGTAATATATGTTCTCTACATTAAAAACTATTATTGTAGTTTAGAACTGTTGAAAGAAATGAAATTAAAAGAATATTAATATAGTAAGTGTAAATATTTTCCAGTTACTCTATTCTAAAATCAACAATTTTTTCAGTGTACAAAATTACTGTACCATTATGGAATTTTGTATAAG